TGAAGCTACATGTGCTTGCTTTAATTCTGTTTGGGAAGCACAGCAAATCAGTCCAAGTGATATCTGCTTCTTCTCCATTTCCAAAAGAGCTCCTGCATCCTCTGACTCAAAAGCTCCAGGAGATCAGTCTTCACCAAAATATTCTGATCATAGCCAGGAATTTCATTCCCTTATACAGAGGCAGTGACGCATGTAACAAGCTTAACAAAAATATGTTCCTCTTCCTAAGGATTTCTATATGACTTAATGTACATATAACTTCCCTTTGCCTACCGACGATTTGAAATAATTTAATTCAACTTTGTACTTGAATTTTCATAGAGCTTCCGAAACATTAATCCCCAGGTAACATTCTTTCCTACTTTACATGTGTAATAAAAAAGCCAAACATGACACTTGCGTTAGTACCTTGGCGTCACTGCACTTTTAGCAGGCAGTTAACCGTTCCCTACTTCCCTTAAATTCATTTATCTCCATAACTGATTTCACTCTAGAACATTAATAAGTACAGTAAAACACCTTTTGAATGCTAAATATTATCGGATAGCTGCAGCGGAGTGCTATATTGATGCACCGTGCAAACAGAAGGAAGAACAGTGTTTTTTAACTTGAGAAAACAGGAAATTGGGATTTTTATTTTGTAGCTGAATCAGTAGTTTGTAGGGAGGCAGTGCCTGGCAGCACAATAACCTGGACATAGCTGTGTCCTCGAAGGAAAATGACCAAACTCCTGGGTTTACATGAAAAGCTGTCACATGAAGGGATATCACACTGGAGATAAACCTACTTCATCCTCACAGTCCAACATCTGCATCAAAAAACGTACAGTTAACCACATAGAGCACAGCTCTGGAGCCAACTTATAATAAAGACATCATACTCACGGGTAATAATTTAAGAAACACGACGGCAAAAGATTAGAAAGAGGAGGGGAATTAATTGAATAGACCTGCTTTGCCACTAGTTCTTCCCATTTATAGCAAATGCCCCGAGTATGACCTCTTGGAGGCTCCTGTGAAGTTAACTAGTCATGCAACCAACCCAGGAGTAAGAATTTGCTACGAGATTAATCAGGGCTATTTTGTTCCGAGGTATCAGCACACAGCTTTTCACCTTCTCCAGGGACGGATGTCCTCCAGCATAAAAAAACCTCAACAAACATCAAACCTGCAAGGGCCGGTTACTTTTTCAACCAGCGCTTCCCTTGCCCCGAAATAACTCGCTCATTAAATGTGCAGTCCCAGGAGAAGCGCCAGGGGCCGCACAACTGTTAGGGAGCTCTGTGCTGTATCTCCTCCACCTTGTTTTTGGATCACAGACACGGTGACTCCCCATCCAACCGGCCAGTTCCCTTCTTCGCAAGCACATCTCCTTCTATGAGCGGAACGCACGCTGAGCTTCGATAATACACATTCAGGGTGTTTATGAGTTTTCAAAGCCTTGAGGCTGTTTTCTACCTAGGCAAGAAAACCTTCTGCCTGGGGAGGTCAGATCTTCTCCCCACTGACAGCTCGAGTCTTCAATCTACTCTCACTCTAACGCAATCACAAACCACAGCTCGTGGGAGGACCTCGGCGGCACCAGACACGTCGGCTAAGCTCATTAAAAAGTCAACATCGAACTCCCCGCCGATGAAACCTTGTAAGAAGCAGGGGAAAGAAACTAATGAAAATACGCTCTCAAGAAACAGGTTTTTACATTACGTCAAAAAAAGTGGCTAAATTCTTCTCTGAAGCAGGCTCCCCTTGGTTAATCACTGAAGACAAACAAAATCAAGGAGTGCAGTAAAAGCTGTGGGAGAAAGTAAGATCAAAATCTTGTAACATCAGTAGAGAAAAAATAAAAATTCTTTATGTGCTTTGGAGATGACGCCTTGTAAAGATACCTCGGTGACAGTCACAAGACATCAGAGTTTATACTTACAGTTGTCTAGCTGAATGAAAAATTATGTCTTCAAATATCCAGTTTAAAAAAAAACTGTATCAGACAGGTGCTGAGGCAACACAGGAAAGCCCAGAAGGAAAAGATGTAACCAGAAGTAGCCACAGCTATAAATCACGGTAACATTGCAGAGCGGTGCTGCACTTACGCCTAAGAAGCCACGGCGCTGAGAAGCCAACCTGCCATTCAACTTGCCTGCTCAAACTCTTCCATGTCCACCTCGCCGTCACCATTCAGATCAAACATCTTAAAGGCGATTTCGAAATTCCTCTGGGGAGCTACAAAACCAAAACACAATAAAAAACAAAGACCGGTTACCAACGATACAAAGGCTCAGTAAGAAAGGCACAAGTTCAGAATTACTTTATCTGAGAGCGATTTTCCATAATTCCTGCAATTAAGAAAATGCAGCTCTCATGAACCTCTGGCTACGAGCTTCACGGTGCCCCTTTTACCAAAGGTCTCAGCAAGGAGGAGGAGATGTTTCTTGAACAAAATTTACTCCATTAAGAGATAGAAAAAGCATGAAAGCAAGACACCATCTGATATTTCTAATGGCCATCAACAGAAGGTGACGCTGCAGCAAGAGCTCCCGCCTGCTCCATGGGGCACAACACCAATTTGGCCAGAGGACATTCTCCCCGATGCTCTGTGAAGCAGCTGGCAGATGAGGAGAAGACTCAGACCCTGGATAATTCTGTTCCAGGCTCAGCTCTTGTCTCACCACACAAATTTAAACACATCTCAGTCCAGTTATGACACTGAGATAACAACACAAGCTGCAGCTCACCCACTGAGACGGCACGGTACCTTATTTTTCATCGCATTTAGTCTATGCTGTCAGGGTTTATTTAGCTAGAACTTGGCAAAAGCATCACCTCACAGCCACCCATCACAGCAAAGCCACACTCTATCACCTGCATCCCACCAAAGAATTTCAGAATATTGCCATTTGGGGCTCTGTAATCCATCACCATTTAAAGCTACATTTTTTTTTACCAAATTAAGCTAACATATGAGAATTTATCTTGATGCACTACTTTCCAACACACACCACCTACAAGACTTTTGGTGTTTGCTGAGATTTCCAGGGAATCCTCCAGGCTATAACTAGTGCTTAGGTTGTCATCGTAAATGATCAGAGTTAAAACCCAGCCCCTTGTTTTGTTCTGAAGACGGCTCTTCCCCACCCAAATCTGGCAGCAGCAGGATGTGGATCACTGGTGAGGCTTGTCCACCTTGAACCACATCTGTTGCCACCAGCTTTTAACATTTCTTGCAGATGCTCAAAAAGTAATGAGTTCCTGCAACCAGCCTCCTGTGTCAAAGCATCTCCCAGCTGGGGGTGGGAAGGGGAACACAACGATGGCTCTTCTCTAACACAGCTGCTCTGATTATTTTTCTTCTCAATTTTTCTTCTTTTAGTTTTGCTCGTCCAGGTAAAGGTTCACGGCTTGGTAAAAGCAACCTGGAGGCGGGACCAGACCAATCCAGTACGTCATTAGAAAAATCTAGTTTTTGGAGCTGGCTACTGCAAATCCACTTCTTCAGAGGTAAGGAAGGTGAACAATGATGTCCTACTTCCATTTGGTTACACAAGGTGTCTAGATTATCTCTGAAGAACATGCACTGGCATATATTGGTACTAGAGGGAATTAGTTGGAAGAAGAACCCTTCAAACATTTCTGCCAGAACCACCTTGGTTCTTGCGCTTGGATACACAATTCCTGGGTGTTCAGTCCACCTCTATGAACCATTTCAGAAAGCTCAGGATGTATGGATGGACCCAATAGCCCAGGACACTTCTTAGGCCAGATTCACCTGACCAAATGTCTGCTGTAGGGGGAAATTAACTACTAAGTAAAAGATCCTGGGTTTCAGGCTTTGCATTTGCCAGCCAGGGGACCTGAGTCATTATTAAGGGTGTTGCGAAGGAAAGGTCTGTGTCTGGGTAAGAAGTGTTGTGCGTGTCGGCGGTGTGGTGTTGCACACACTGCCGTACTCACGGCAAGTTCCACAGTAACTGCGTATGTTTGATCTTAATGCAGGTGAAGAGGAGAGCCTGTTGTTCCAGGAGGCTGAGGGGAGACGTTATTGCTCTCTACGACTGCCTTAAAGGAGTTTGTAGAGAGGTGAGGATTCGTCTGTTCAACTGAGAAACAAGTGAAAGGACAAGAGGAAATGGCCTCAGATTGCACAAGGGGAGGTTTAGATTGGATATTTGGAAGAATTTCTTTACTGAAATGGTTATCAAGTACTAGAATGGGTTGCCCAGGGCAGTGGTGGAGTCGCTGTCCCTGGAGGTATTTAAAAGTCATGTAGACATACTGCTTAGGGATATGGTTTAGCAGAGGGCTCGTCAGTGTTAGGTTAATGATTGCACTTGGTGATCTTAAAGGTCTTTTCCAATCTAGGCAATTCTGTGGTTCTGTGAAAGAGGAATCACTCAGACGAAAAAGAAATTAATACGGAATTAACCGAACTGGATTCTGCACATTAGTTTCAATTTCAATTTAAGACCAGGACACCCGTACATCGCTTTTTCCCCTTGCCATAATAAACTTTATCACCAAAAGATTCGGCGAGCACGCTGACGAGATCACTTTCTGCAATCACCTTGGGCCCTAAACAGATGTCTAACGGGGACAGCCTGTCGCTGGCCGCTCCACAGACACAGCACGTACAGTCCTGCTGTCACCATTCCCGGATTCCCAATTTCCTCCTCCTGCCAATTATTCAGGCTTTAAATTCCAAGCACCACGTGCATCGGTGATGTCTCCTGTAACGCCAGCAGCATGTGGTGAGTCGTCTCCCCTTTCACACACGTCTCTCTTCCCCCCATTTTCTCCACCAGCGTACAACGAGGTATAATTCTGAGACTGGAAAATTTGTTGCTCCTTGTTAAAAATTGGTGTTTGGGGTTTTTCTCCTCCCTCCTTCCTGTGCTTTGAGGAAACATGTAATATCACGTCCCATTCACGCAAACACAGGGTGAATACGTATTCTCTTCATACGCATTTTCGAAAGCAGTTTTATCAAAGCCCTACAGGAGAATATCACTTGCAAAATTCAAGTGAACAGCTCAGCATCAAAAAAAAATCTGCAGGGTAAGTATTTTCTAAGGATAGGGAAGGAAAGTGGCTTTGAATTGGCAATTTAATTACTTCATTTCTTTAGCTAATAAGCGACACAGCCCGTTTCTTCCGCTGATCTGCATATCTAACTCCAATTACTTGTAACAACACTTAAATCCCACCAACATGAATGTGAGCCAGCGAAACTAGAGGGCACCGAAGACAATTAGCTCATCCTGCTCAAGAAGAAATGGCCATTAAGATCCACATCCCTGATTTCCAGGCAGCCTGAATTTACTCGTCTCGAGCGAGACAACTTCTGCCTCTCGGGTGTGATGTTTCTTACCAAGATTTATTGGGGAAGAGTCACCCCGACGGCAGCTGACCCCCACCCTGCCCCATTACCCGTGGTTACATCAGCCTCTACAACCTCCATTTCTCTTCTTCCTCTCGTACTTACATCTGTCAGAATCTTACAGACCCTAACAGCAGCAGATGTGGGTTTGCCTACCTAATCTAACCTTTCAGTGCCCTCCCCCTAGTTATTTCAACCCCCAATTGAACTACTCTCGCCTGCAGCTTCTCTAAATTAACCCACCGCCTCCTTAATTAAAGGTGGATGCAATATTCCTCCTGCAATGGTCATCGACACCGTGGAAAGGACTGTTTGCTTCTAACACGGTGCACCGCCTGTCTTGACAGGAGAAAATCATTTCTGGATTTTCCCCCAGCGCTCTGCTGCCTTTCCAGCTCTCTTCGATTTTGCAACCTACCTCCTTGCCGTCCTTTTTGACGTTATGAAGAATCAAGATTTTTCACTGCAGCTAATTTCGCTTGGGCAACAAGTCAGGAAGTGGTCAGGGCAACGGCAGCTTCTTTTCTAGCTTGATTTCTACTCTTTAGGTGTTTGGGAGGATACAACCACTTCCTAGTGACTCCTCCAAATTATTAACACAACTCAAAACACGGTACTGACCCCACACCAACACCAATCCATGAGTTACCTATTCCTGTCTTGGACACAGATGTTGATGAAGTTGAAATCTCTTTGTAGAAAAACAGATCCACCAGCTCTACACGCCGAGTTGTTTTTTTCGGCTAACCTGGGACTTAGGGAAAAGGGCAACTAATATTTTTCTTAACTCATTTGATCAAATCAAGGATTTGGGAGCAGAAAGGCAAGAAGAAAACCCAAAACTGCACAGAGCTGTGTTACGAAGATGAGCAACGTCCACCAGACAAACAGAAGATGAGCAGCAGCACTGCCCACACCGAAAAGCCCACTTGATCCATCTGTGCAAAGCCCCAGTGAACCTCTGAGGGATTAGATGGGTTGGATTAGGCATCTTTAGGACAACTACATAATTTTTAACTATTTTGGATTATTCAACGGGTCAATTTGCAGCACTCAGTTGCTCTTTATCACCATTTACTCTCCCCAGAAGCAATGCGTTCTGAAGGACAATACACGCTCATTAACGAGGATGCGTTTTACCATTTTTGCCCTCGTTAGATCTTTTCTCTACCCCAAACTCAATGCTCCACACTTAAAGAGATATCTCCCAAGAAGTCTTTCCTGATGACTGCCCTGGTGCAACTCATGTAGTACGTGGTGGCACACAAAAATTAAGCGTCTGCAGAGCATCCATCTCAGCTGGAGGCACATTTTAGGACAATCATTTTGAACATATTTTTCAAGAATCAATATTGCTCCCTTCAGATGTAGCTGAGAATTTCTTTGTCAAAGCAGAGTGGGGTTTTGGTGATGTTAATTAAAGGAAATAAAAACTTCTGGCTGCTCCTTTGAAGACTCTGGAATATCTTTGTTAAACATAAAAGAGCTCAAGACTCTCGTATCCATCCCAAAGCCTAAGAACTCTACCAGCAGCTCCAGTGTGGGAAGAAAGATCAGGAATTCATCCGGGGAGTTAATTTGAGAAAAATTAGTCATTAGGAGTTAAATATCCTATGACTGTTTCTTCCACCCTCAAATTAAGAAAAATACACGTAAAAAGGCCATAGTACCCTGAAGCTGAAAAAAAATACATCTTCATAACCAGTCCAAAATTAATACAGCCCTCGTAAAGCAGAGACAAATTTTCACCTAGAGAGGTGGCTCCTCAAGCCTTGCAGCTATAACCATATTTTTTCTTTCTTTTTTTTTTTAAGGCCATGTTACAAAGAGCTTATCTTTTTCCTCCAGCCAAAAATAAATCAAGATTATTTCCTCCCCCTCCTTAAGGTATGTGAATTAGCACGGACATTATTCCGTCTGACTCGGCACAGTGGTATTTTAGATGAGAAATGTTTCTGTACCTGTTTGAATGGGAACATTTCGGTCCAGAGGACGGAATCGGGGTCAGAGACGAGCTCACCCTTAGAAGGCTGCAGCCAGCAGCCCGGCACTGGTACCCAGCTCATGGTAAGCAACCACACCAGTAATGGAGATGAGCAAGATAACACACTTTGACATAATGTATCTCTAAATGTTGTAATTTTTTTTTTGAGAATGGAGTTGCAGCCTTACACGGAGGCAACTATCCAGAGAAGATGGATGGCTGAGCCCCAGCTGCAATAAACATGTGGAAAAAAACCACGAAATTGTCCCAGTGTTGCGGGTACTTTCCTTTCAAGTTATTCTGCACTTTCAGGAAATTAATTCGAATCCCACCAACTTTATACTAATCAGTCCAGAAATCTAAAATAACACACAGTTAAGATAACCTAGTGCACAGCGTGGAGATCGAGCCACAGTATCATCCGTGCTAAAGGTGAAATATCTTTAAATAGCTAAGGGTTACTCCTCATCACAAGGAAGTATCCCTGAAATATCACAAACGCACCGTTTTCCACCCTTTGGAAAGCTGTACCATGGCAGCGTTTTACCTCCCGAGAGAGAAACTCAGGCCAAGCGTGCAGCACACTTCTCCTTGGAGGGATGTCCCAGATAATGCCATTTTTTATCTTTCTTCCACTTAATTAATCTGCAGGTTCTGAGATATTGCTATGAGCAACACAAAATTACTCTATTTCCTAACTGTATAGAAATAATAACGGGTAAGTTACTGGTGTTCCTCAGTCAGGCTAATAAGTGCTGCAAAGCAGAGCAGCCTTTCCCCACCACAAATTTACTGTCCTCGGTGACACAAGATGCTGGTGGAGATCCATCAGCCCATCACACCACGTCAGCGCAAGGAATGACGGGATGAACAGAGAAAGACCAAGCGAAGACGGCAGAAGGAGAGGCTGGCAGAGCATCCCATGCCCTAACATTGGTTTCCAAACCAGAGAGGTCAAGCTTTGCTTGGGAAGATCCCAAAGTGCTGATAGCGAGAAATCTGTCCTGTTTCTGTCCTCTTGTCCTTCTAGCTCGTGGAAGAAGTGGAGGCAGAGAACCCTTGGTTTGACAAGAAGCAGTCAGGCTTACATCCGGAAGGTGGAACAGCCCGTGGAAGAGGATCTCTGTGCTGCTCAGACACATCTTAGAAATCCCACACAGCAGCGACTGGGCTGGCAGAAAGGCATTGGAGACATCCCTGCACCGCACAGCGCGGCTAAGACGGATCCATGTATATGCACGTAGGGTCTTGAAAGTTTAAAGATAAAATTAACATGAACAGGATCGCAAACAAAAACATTCCTATAAACTCAAAGCAACCTTCAATCTCTTCTTCTCACAGAGGCAAGCCCTGCGGTGCTCAGCGCTGCTCTGCAGGATCGGAACACCACCGGCGAGGTGGCGGATCTTGCTCGTGGCAGGAGCCTGAAGACATTCATGTCGGCAACAATACATGTTCAAAAGGGCCACACTGCAAACAGGCCCATCGCACGGACCTCCATAGCACCCAACACACAGCCAGAAAATAATTTCCGGGGCTACATGGCTTGGGATTTACTTCCTTCACTGGGAAAACAACAACAATGAAAAGTGAGTCTATATCCTAGGCAAGAGGCCCCTTGCAGGCCAGTAGCCATAAGGGATGGCAACGTGCCACGCTCTAGAAAGAACCTGCCGGAGATGGGAGAAGGAGCTGCAGGTCTGCTACAGGAGCCCTGGCAAAAGAATAATTATTTTGGCTCGAGCCAGTGCTATTTAACTCTCCCTTCTAGGAGAAGTAAATCCAGACACAGCGACAGTCCAATTACGGAAACACCACTAGTTTATTTTTTTTAACGCCCAGCTCCCTTCAGTACCTGTTAATCAAGTGGGCGTTAGGGTGCCTGGACAAGGGACTTCATTTGCCCTGAAACTGCTGTGGCTAACATCAGAAAAGCTCTGTCTCTCCTTCCTCCACTCATCCTCCAAGTCCAAAAGCAAAAAGCCCTTTTGGGCATGCCTTCCTGTGACAGTTGAAGGACACAGGGGAAATCCCAGCAGCATTTCGTTTAACCCGTGTTTCGCTCATCTTCCTACCTCTGCCCCAAAACACACGGAGCGGCTGAAGCGAGAGAAACCTTGGACGCGGCCGTGCTGGGTTAGTGGCTTGACTCAAAGGTCTTTTCAAACCCAAACGATTCTATGAAACAAGGTATCCTTAAAACCACTCAGCTCTCGCTGCCTTTAAAAGAAGGCTGACTTTCCGAAGCAGTTAAATGCTCTTTTATTAGCTGTTTTAAAAATACATTTTCACAGAAACGCGGCAACCGATGAGAACAGACAGTGCCAGAGTGAGAAACCACTCGTAAATAAAATACGGTGACAGACTTCATTTGCTGTGCAAGATGCAACCAGTTCTCCGCTAGCACCATGCAGATGAAGGCTTCAGCCTTCTCTCCTCTTCTTCCTCCTTGCCAGCGGCCACGCAGCCCAGGTTTTCAGAGAACACAACTGAAGTGAGCTTCAGCTGAAGCTGCAGAGACAATATTGGTCAATACGTAGCGGCTTTTAGCTATTTGATGGAACCTACAGCTCGCTCTTGTCCAGATACCCTCCTAAAGTTTGGGTTATTTAAACAACACAGTGAGAAAACCAATATTGAACTACTGTCAGGTTTAAGATGTGCTTTCCTCATTCTGTTTTATTTATTTCCCAGGGGGGGGAAAAAAAAAGTGCTGGATTCCTAAACGGTAATGTTTACTACTAGGAAAGTAAACCAGGGTGACACAACAGTCAATTTTCTATCTAGCCACAGGGCAAGATTTGTTTGGGAGTTTTATTTTTGTAAAAGCAAATGCTTTAAAAATGAAACCATAACTCTTCCTCCCGGGAATCACTGTTTGACAGCAGCTCAAGAGACGTTCCTCCATCTTCAATGTCCGTGCAGTAAACTTCCAAAATCCCTAGAATTCAGTCTAAAAGTCTTTCTTCTCCCTTTCCCTTTTTTGCCTTACCCACCTCTCCTACCGTTCCACAAAGCACAAACCGCCCAGTTCCACCTCTTCTTGTCAGTCTGACTCCCCAGTAACTGCAAAGACGTTTAAAAGCCTAAAACCAAGAGGAAAGAGATCCCCTCGCTCCCGCGCAGCCCTCCAACGCAAGGCTGGCCGCTACGCTAACATGAAGCGCTCCCTTTTCTTTTATTCTCCCAACAAAGAAATTAAACCAAAGCAAGAACAATTTCTCTTGCCTGCGGAAACACACAGAACTAATCCTGCGCCCTGTACACGTGATTAGGGGGTTGCTCCCCCACCAGCACAGCCATAAAGTGAAGGGCACGAGTGCTTTCCAAACCACACCATGTAATGCGGTAACTAGAGGTTTGAGCATTCATCATCATCCATGGAGATTGAAAGCCCCCGCTACACAAGTGGAAATACCTTAGATAAATTCAGCACAAGCTAGAGTAATGTAAGAACAGCAAAAGAGTCAGTTCTGAGACTCGGCCAAACAAAAAAGCAGATTAAAAACATCAAAAGCTCTGGCTTGAACCAGCTTCACCTCTCGGTGTTTGTTTTCACTACATGAAGGTCAGGCACCCGGCTTCTCCCACCACATCCATCTGACAGCAAACAAGACCTTGAACACCGCCTCTCCCCTGTAACGGATCCTCCGAAATGCCCTGTTCTGTAATTGAAGAGCTGCCTCTTTAACCTGTCCATGTCACAGCACACAAGAAGATGGGGAGGAAAAAAAAAAAAAAAAAAAAAAAGCAAAAAATAAAGCATCTGTTGCTTTTAGAAAACGTCGGTGAATGACCCAGCTGACCGCCTGAAGAGGACAGGGCAGGCAGCAGTGGCGGCAGCGTTCTAGAAAAAGCTGGGAAGTGCCCAGCTTTATGCTGGTAATCATGAAACAGGTACTTACAAGACTAGATGGCCAAGCTTTCTTTCTGTTTTCTTTTTGTTTTCGGGTCTGAAACGAAAACGTCTCAAGCCCATTTGGACAGCAGCATATTTCCCATTACTCCACATTCTTTAATGGGGCTGAAAAATATGGAAAAACTTCTGCCTGCTTGCCTATTCACGCCTTCCAAGCAGCTAGAGAAGCTCTGCAAATGAGGTTTCGAGTTTGTTTTCCCCGTGAAGAAAGTCTAGAAATGCCATTTAACATTACCCAAGGCTTGAGTTTCACTGCTTCTTGCCAACGAAAATCAATTTTTAAGTGCCAGCTCTTCAAGTGCCGAAGACTTCGCTGGGAGAGATTAGCAGATCACAGAAATATCACAAACGTAAGTCAAGCGCGTCAGGGTGAAAAGACAGAAGGTATCTAATGATACGCGTTGAAATGTAAACAGCTTAACTTCTCTCCTCATTGGGTTACATAATGCACTGGTGTGAGCTCACCCCAGTGAAAATACAGCTGGAGAAGAGTCAGAACAGTCCTGTAACCAGTGAAGAGCTGGAAAGCAGCGTTCATCCAACCACAAGAATATCACATGAACACAACTTGAGAACACATCTCCATTTACTGTTCTGAGCAGCAGGCGAAAGGACTTAGTGAAAAAAAAATAATGAAAAATTGCCACGTTTTAAAATGTGAAATAAATCTTCAGAACTCATCAATCTGCTCATCTTTCCAAACCACCAAAAGCTAAGTCTAACCCAGATGAGGCAATAGCAGTTATTCATTCAGCTCAAGTTTCAAGCAATCAAGAATTCCTTTTAGGGAATTGTAGGTAGACAACAATTACAAACTCACTGCTAGTAAACCTTCAAAAAACTTTAAAAAGCAGTAATTCCAGAGCAAAAAAAAAATCAGCAATGTACTTACTGGAAAGGACTGTCGTGAGGAAGATGTAGTCGGAAAAAGAAATGAGTCCACATTCTCCAAGCGCATAGAATATGCTGTCCTCGTCGGCAAACTTCTCTCGCTCCTGGGATAATTTCTATTTATTCATCCGACCCACACGCCAACAAAAGAAAAAAGAAATCAATTGATTAAATAGAGAAACAGAAGGCTTTATTTGTAACCTCATCACCAACAAGCCATTCCACATACACATCTCCCCTACTACCTCTATTCATATTCAGCGGACCTTTTCCAGCCTTCAAATCTGTCAGAAACGCTCTGCAAAGATCAGTGCTTCCCCATCTCAAGTGAGGGATAAGGAATTGGACAAGAGTAATTAGCTGGCTTAGCCTAGCTGAAACACAGAGAGATGAAACTATATTTTGCCCAAAATTGTCTGAATCTTTGAGAGATTACCATTACAAAAATCAGCTTTTTTTTTTTTAATATGGGATTCAAAAAGGTAATTGTAATATTTCACTTCTTAGTTATACTCTGTCGTAGCAGTAGCCAAGAAAGAACTATTTCTCACGAATATAAAGAACGATCCAAGTTATCAAAATCGTGTAGTTACAGGAGCCCACGATTCAGGAGTGTGTTTAGCAAGCTCACTCAAAGGACCAGGACCGCTATCAATCTCAGTCTCTCTCTCCCTTCGGTTCTTTTTCAACACTTGGCTTTAACAGAAAATACCACCTGCGGTTTATCAGCTAATCTCCCCTCCTAACCTAAAAATCCCAGCCCCTTTGATCTGCTGAAGCTTCAAAGACTGAAAAGGATCCATAAAACTGTTAAGAGATGCACACCGAAATCCACACGGGTGATCCGTTTTAATAGCACGGCAGGAGGAGGCGCACACACGCACACACACACAGAGGAAAACAAAATTAATATAAAGGAGGCGTGGCTGAGGTTATCCAACAGAAACCAGGTCATGCAAGCACAGAAGCATGGGGAAAAAAAGCAAGGCTGAACTGAGGACCAGTTTTAGGAAAAAACCACCGACAAACACCATCACACCAGGCTCCAGCTACACAGCTGTGCCCCCCACCGTTACCTCTGTCTAGCGGAGATCCCATCATATACAAGATAAAGGAAAGAAAACTGGTTAACCGACAATAAAACAAGCAGGCAAAACATAACATCAAGTTGAACGGTTAGGCTTGCGAAGGGGCAAGAAAGTTTCGAAGCAACCAGGTCGTTGCTTTGACTGGGCGCTGGTGCAAGCCTAAGTAGACATCCCAGCAAGGGTTAGCACAGAGCCTCTCCACGTCAGACCCTCTCTCTGCAGCTGATGTCTCTCATCCACCTCAGGTTTGGGGTTTTTTGTTTGTTTTATTTCTTTCTTCAGAGAGAGAACTCACCATCGTATGTGGCTGCAGAGTGGGGATGAGCTCAGCTAATAATTTGGATGAAAATTTAACCCGTATCTGGCTCAGAAACCACAAGAAAAGAGACAAAAATAATCATATAGATCACCAAAAAAAGATACAGTTTTCAGGGGGAAAAAAAAAGTTCAGCTCTATTGATCAAACAAACTCTTCCCAGTAGCTCTGCCTTTACCATCTGGAGACCACCAGTAATTTAATAACAGGCAAATGACTCAGTGCTAATAGCATTTATTTCATGCATGATAACTGCTCTTTATGCTTACGGGATACCAGGTAGAAGTATCATTTACTGACAAAAAAAAAGAAGTCTTCGCTTCCCTTCCCATTGAGATGGATCCATATGACACTGATGCTTACGTAAGGATAAATAACAAAGTCTGGTTTTCCTTCAGACTGAAGGGAGGATTGGTGGCAAAAGCAGTTTTCTGTGATTGCTGCCAGTGGTGTCGCCAGCAACATCTCACCTGCACCGGTGATTTATTGCCTCTTCCTCCAACTGCTTGTCTTTAGCAGCATTTTATCATAAACTAGCTATTAGCATCGTACTTCACCCGCTCGAAGGATCCCATGAAAAGTTCCAGAGGTCGGTTTATTAATTTTTATAGGAGTTTTTTTATGCACTTAAAAGTCACAGGCGGCACGAAATGGCTTGAAATACTCCTCATAAGCTGAAAACCACATCAATAGACTAACAGCAAAAAACCCAAAAGATATTAAGTTAGTTGCTTTCCGAAATACAAAGGTGCTGACAAAGGGAAACCCATTTACTCATTTGCATCTCTGAGTAAACAAAGTAAAAAATAAAACAAATTATTTTAAACAAGCGTCTGCGTGCCAGAAATCTGGAGCAGGTATGCTGTGACGACAGCGCTGAGCCTGCCTGCACCTAATGGGAAAGGGAATTTTTCCCACTGATCTCAGGAGGAGGAAATAACAACTGACCTAATCAGCAAGATTTTAAGGGTCCCAGCATGAGGACAACAGAAATCTAAAAAAAAATAAATAAAAATCACAACTTTACCATAGGATGCTAGCTGCCCACTATGGGAAAGGGTGGAAGCGTTGTGCTCACCATGAAACATGTTGTTCCTCACTAAGAAACATTATATTCTACAGAAATACATCGTAATCCCCAGGAAAAAAAGAGAAATGAAGGAAAAATAAATGGAGCTACCCACTTTACAAAGCACAAACACAGACTGCTGCCACCACTCGAAGTTCAGGGTGAAGAAACCCAAAGTCGGTCCTCACTAACTCCTAAAGCCACTGCCTATGGGCCTCACACTTCTTTTTCACATTCCTTCGTTCCCTTCTATCATCCCTCCTAGCCAGAAAGGGATCCGAAAAAGTGGGAAAAAATCCATTTCCAAGGCTCTATTCTCTTTTAGAGATACATCATCACCACAACTTACTGATCTACACGATTGCAGGACAACTCTCACATTCCGCATCCTTTTGTATCCGAACAGAAGCGAATTCTCAAAATACTCAGTGAAAACCAGTCAGCTGTTTTCCATTTAAGAATTTTCTTCTGTATCGCGTTCATTCCCCAAGCCAGAGTAACTGGTTAACATCACTCAGCACACCCAAGAACATTCAAAACCAAGCATTCACAAACGAGCAAGCCACGGGAAACAGTTGACAATTACAATGTATTTTTAATCAAGCAGTAGATTCATACTAAACAAGCCCGCAAATGAGCAAACATCCAAATTAGCATGGAAAAAGGAAAAGAAATCCAAATATACCATTCCTTTCAGCACAAGCACGGCTGTGCAAATTCAGTGAAAAGCCACCAGTCCAGTCTCAGTGGAACAAAACTTGTTGGGCAGATTATTATCTTACAACACCAGGCATAGACAACGAGTAAAAAAAAACCAAAATAAAAACGATTGCATTTCAAAACCCAAAGCTTGGTTTGCCCTTTCCAACTCGGGCTCTGATCTCACCAAACAGCACTAGAACATGGGTTGAGCATCTTGATGAGAGACCCCGACCTGCCCCCAAACCCACGCGGGGCTGGGTGCAAGCAGCAAAGCACCCAAAGGTCCATGGCAAGATTCGCCTTTTCCACCCTAAAACTGATCTAATTGCTGGAGCCTCCCTCGAGCCAAGCACACGGCACAGCTCACAGGTAACAACAGATTTGGGGTGGAAAAAAAACCCCCAACCTACTGATTCCTTCCATTCCTTGCCAAAGGCCGCCTTTATTTTGGCATTTTAAATTGTTTTCCCAGGGCTGAGTGAAAAGCGTTAGTTAAGTCTGGGGGGTGAGGAGTGGAATAAATAAATTTTTGTTTGCAAATTAAGGGACGTCTTCTCCACAAAGGCAGAGATGGACTCCAGGCGCGGTGCTGGTGTTTGCTCTCCATTCCCACCGCACGTTTGGCAAAGCCTCATGAGCTACATCCTTGCAGCTCTGCTTCATTTTGCATTTTGGAAACTACCTAATGAAGAATATTTAATTTGCCACTCTGGGAAGAACATGCTCTTGGTAAGTCACTTAGAGCTGACAGTCTGTGTTTTGATGTAGAGGATAAAACACACTTCGGGCACGTTTATTCCCATAACTCACTCGTGTGACAACATCACCTTCGTGCTTACGTGAGCCAAAGCTTCAGGAATTTATCAGCCTCACGTGACCACTCGACAGCGATTTATGCCTTCCAAGACGACAACAAAATAAATATCAAAGTGCATGCAAGATAGTGACTATTTCTCCAGAACCAGCACGTAATTTTGTAAACTAATAGAGAATTTTAGGTGCAGCGTAACCTTCTTTCATTGACAAACGTCACACTCGGTTCAGTTCCTTTTAAGAGGAGAAACAAAAACCTTTAAGGTTGCCAATATTGTGTAAGCAAAGACAAAACCGTGAACGTTTCAGTGACGTCACCTTGCTGCAAAGCAATTCTCTTTCAGTCCCAACTGACCACCTTCAGTTATGCAAACCATTTAAAAGACATTTATTCAAGTATTTCTTTTATGGTTGGATGTGGGCACATCGGAAAAGAACTTAAAAAGCTGTGAGATCAGTATTAAAAAGAAGTATTCTCCTTCCCACGGTAGGAGTTTCCAGCAACAATCTGTGTTACAAGTTGGCCTAATATAGACAATTTTTTTCCTGTTTTCTGGCTTTAGAAGGTAAAGATGATCCTCCATGTTACTGCAATTTTGGGAAACGTGTCTCTTTACAAATAGAATCTCTAAGAAGAGAGGTAACATCAAGTAGGAGACGTGTTATTAGTCCTGCTCGCACAGGGCTCGATACCTTGGGTTTAAAGCAGTAGACCACATGCCTATAAAAAACCCCAAAACCTAATAGGAATCCTTCTAAGGATGGAGAAACAAACCTTTTTGTACAATTTATTGGACAGTCCGTTTAGTTAACGCATTTTTAAACACTCTTTAGTACCTCCCACGCATATTGTTGGGACATCTTTAAAATTACGAGGTGGCATCTGGCATTTAAACGTGCAGCGGCACAGCGCCTTTCCGCTCGGTCACAGCGCCCGTCCTGAGCCAGACCGCTTAAAATTTGGGGAAATATATATATATATATATATACACACACACACACTGTATGTATATATGTACTGAGATACTCGCTGAGTACCGTATTTGCAGGAGATGCTCTATATTAGTCTCTCAGACAAGACAGATAACGGCGATGAAATGCCGGTGCAAACTGCAGGCAGCGCAGCCT